TCCGATCCCAGACGCGACTGCCGTCGCTGTCCCCGTTTCCCTTTCCATCATCATCATGTTGGACATCTTCATCCTCATGTTTTTTGCCATCATAGGCCTGGTCGTCTTATCCTACATCATCTACATGCTGTAGCAGAGTCTCCAGCCGCCGCCAGCCAGCCAGCCAGCCGCCGAGGGAGGATGGCTACGCTTCTCGCCATTTAACGCAGCCGTGGTCCAGGTGGGCATCCTTGGCACTGCCAGCCAACAGGAGATGTAAAACTCCCGTTCTGGTTCCTTCTTTCTCCCAAGCCTGATCTTTTGAGGGGGGAGGGGACGGTCGCTTAGAGAAAGAGAGACTGATGTTGTGACTCTGTGTCAAGCTCTCTCCTGTGGTCCTTCGTTGCTTTTTAATCTTTCTGAAAGAGCAGTTCCTTTACAGAATGCATTTTGTTTAATATAACGCTAATGGTATTGCGCTAAGCAATGTCTTGTTTTTCCTTCCCCTCTTACATTTGGGAACCACTCTCTTTCATTTTTGATATTTTATATATCCAGAAAGAATATGTGCTGGCGATTGTATTACGTAGAAGAAAAGTACAAAAATGATGTTATAGGTGACACAGTTTATATTCCGGTTTTTAAGAACTGCCTGGGTGGGAGAGCTGGCTTTGCTTTAGAGGCCGATTGTCCATTTTATGTCCTTTCAAAGTCATGAATATTTATACCTCATCCCCCCATACATACTCATATAATATTTTTCTTCCTCCACTTTCCCCCCCTGCCTTTGCCTTAAATTGTGGCATTTTCTGCAGGCAGGAGACACCACCCTGGCTCAGGGCCATGTTTACATCTCAACAACCTAGTCTGGCAAAGCAGTTCCAGAGCTTTCTGGAGAAAGGTTAACCCTTTGCAGACCTGATGAGCAAAGAGAAGAATGATTCAGCGGAATGATGTGAAGCTGCGTCTCAAGCTGTTGAAAGACTGCGTTGGAAATGCCACTGGAAGAGCCATCCACAAAAGCAGATAGCAAGAGTACGGAATAGGGTGGTTCTAAGGAGAGGGAGAAAGCTTTTGCCAATATTATCCTGGCATAGGGAGGGGGGAAAGAGGTTGATTTTCTGTGTCTTTGATATGTGACCACTGAATGGAGAAAGTATTTTCTGTCACTTTAAGTTCTACAATATAGATTAGTTAAAAACCCCATGGAAGAGGGGAAACCAGACTGATAAACCAACTGCATTATATTTAGTTGCCACACTGAAATCCCAACAGAGATCATTTATGTGCCGAAAATGAGTTCTTACACATAGACTGGCAGTACAAAGTGTGCAAAAGCCTGTGGGATGATAGACAGGGAGCTGCAGCTTCCAGCAGCATAGTAGTGTATTCAAAACATGATGCCTAATTAATTCTTATGTGGATATGTATGCTAACACTACTGTACATAAGTTGAGGATGCTGCTACTGCTGTTGCCAGGTTCAGGATGTTTATTTTCCTCATTTTTTTTAAAAAAAGAAACCTTTTCAGGAAGTATTTTTATACAGGAGTGCCCCAGTATCTTCAAAGTAGAAAAAATTATTGCAGTGACACCATGAAGTTCCTGCAAGATGTAAACAGAAAATTATTTTTGTCTGATATGAAAGCTAAGGATTTCTGCAAAAAGAGGGGGAGGGATATGGGAGGAATATGAAAAGCAAATGTGGTTTGATTATCACTGGGGAGGGGTGATTTCTTCAGCAGAAAATGCTTGTATAATAACTTGGAAACTCCCAGAGTAGGGAAGTATAGCGCAATTACTAACATAGAGAAGAACCTGACCTTGGAGAGAAGTATTGCAGTTTGTAACTTTTGCTTCTGTATTAGAAAGCAACACTGTTGTCTTTTCCATGGGCCAGGAGAGGGGTCCTCCCTTGGGTATTTTCCAAGAGGTAGCTGTTTGAGCAGAACAAAAACAAAAGAAAAAGAAAAAGAAAAGGAGTCTTTAAGGCTAACAGATTTATTTTGGCATGATATTTTCTGGGTTATAATCCACCTCCTCACAGGCTCCTTTGGTTAGTGGCAGAAAACTCCACTGTTGTTCTTTGTTCTGTCATTACAGCTCCAGAAGAAAAGGGAAATATAGACATAGGGAGACATATCAATGTTGTACTGGGGAGGGGAAGGTTTGGGATCTACCAGATCCAAATAATCTCCCTATTTTTCTAGTCACACCCTGAAATGAGGCAGGAGCCACACCAGCCTATAGCTGGCACAGTTGCTTTGTGCCCCCTGGAAACCATGAGAAGGGAGTAGTTAAAATCTATATGAATGAATGAATGAATGAATGAATGAATGAATGAATGAATGAATGAATGAATGAATGAATGAATGAATGAAACAGAAAAGATGTAAACCATCTCTCAGTTTTTGCCCTAGTTAACACAAGCCTGGGAGGCCTTGGCAGTTCCTTCCACTCCATCCCCACATATTTCTGCTCTTTCAAATGTACATGGTCCAATATTTATGGCTCTAAAAGGAGTTTTTCCTGAAATGTGGAAAGTAAAAAAAGAGAGTCTCATACACACATATCAATGCAGTTGGTTCTGAAAATTTTGAAATGTTGTGAAATAATTTCTTTAACATCAGTAAACTTCAAAGCACCTTGCTTTCTTGAGTTCTTATTTTTT